ATATATGTATGTGTATATATATATATATATATATATATATAATATACATATATACGTATATATGAGAAAGTACCTCGTGCTTACGAGAAAGTATCTGGTGAGCACGAGATACGTTTCTCTTTTTTCCCCATGTCCCCATGTTTAGTGGATCAGTAGGTTTCAAATTGAGTTTAGTAAAAAAAAATTGGCACTTGTTCTATAATTTTCAAAACTGTAATTTAAAAATGTGATCAATCAAATGTAAAGGAGCTCAACGCTTAACAAAGATATAATCATAAAGCTAGTATTTGCCCATCAAGACACCTGAAGTACAATTTTTAAAACATTTAACATTGTTAAAATTGGACATCTTTAAGATAAAAAAATGTTATGACCCAACCTAAAATAATCTTTCAAAAACACAATCATAATATGCTGTCAGTGAGGTTGCCCCCTGCTGAATTTTCTTTTAATTTCTTTCTGCTTGTTGTGTGTTCAAGTTGTTACTATATTTAGAGTCTAAATACAGCAACAATTTGAACACTTGAGTAAGTAGTACAAGGATGTTCTTAGAGCAGTTTAGAAGAATAAGAGTAAACGATAATAATAGTTACATTATCTGTGTTTGATGATGCTGTAAGCTCCCTTCTCTGACAGCGGTTAAACCCACAACCTGCCTTTTTGATGATACAACTAGGTTTGACTTCCACGATCTCATTTTATCTTCCTTTTCCCTCCATCCCATCTGTCTCACTTTCACTCTACAGCTGTGATGTTTAATGAGGGTTATTTTCAATCTGCTGGAAGCTAAAAGCTCATGTTCTGCCGTGCACCTCTGCTCTGACATGGCACTGCGAACAAGAAGAGTCAAACTCACTCCTCTTTTTTGTAGATTTTTCTGTGCACTGCTGAACAACGTGTGATCGATTTGCAGTCGAGCATTTTCTTCCATTGTGACCCTCTATCTCTCCATCTCTCCATCACTGGCCTCCTTTTTTTATTCCTCTGCTGTGCTGTCAAGTCTGCCAACAACCTGCTGCATCACCCCCCCACAATGAACCAGGCTGCAATCACACAAATAACACACACACACACACACACGGCTGCAGCCTCCCAGTCACTCTCTCTCTGTTGGACTCTCAGATAACACACAGTTTGGAAAGTATTCACACAGGTCTGAATGGTTTCCACAGCGACTGGATGTTCGCAGCTGAGGCAAACAGCAGAGTGTCGGGGTATAAAAGGCCGACAGATTCAGATGCGTATCACCGCCTGACTGCCCTTCCCCCGGCAGACGGGTTGACTTGGTCTTTGATTCTGCAGAGAGTTCAAGGCTGTGAACTCTTAGATCTTAGATCTATCTATCTATCTATCTATCTATCTATCTATCTATCTATCTATCTATCTATCTATCTATCTATCTATCTATCTATCTATCTAT